TGTTAATAGTAATGTCTTACCTTGTGAAAAGATGGTTTAATAATTGGCCCAACCACTTCTAGAACAGTCTTCAGCACTGTGTAAAAGCACAACAAAGAGTTTGTTCAGTACATCGTAGGGCTCCGCTCCTAGGGTGTCACCAAATTTTTCAAAAAGTACTTTAGGCCACACCAATTTAATTTGTTGCTTCTCGGATTCGCCCTCAGCCCCTGTACATTTTTTTGCTGATTTGCAAAAAAAAAAAATTATTTTGCCTTCTAAATCAACTGCAAAATGCTCAATAAAAGACATATTTTGGCTCCAACCGTTGAAGCAAGTCCTCTTCCTAGCTGTTAAAAGTTTTTCAATGTAACAATGCAATTTTGTTTCATTTAAAGTTCAAAATCTATTGTTTTAATTATAAACCAGTCTGGTGTGTTGACTTCATGGCTCATATTGTAACATTTCTGGCTATCATGGGGTGCCTTGGCCTGTTTTTTTTTTTTTCCCTGTCGCTTCATATTTTTTCTGAAAAATAAAAAGAGAAACAACAAATTAAATTGATGTGGCCTTAGATTATGATTCCTCAAAGAGGTGAAAACCGAAATGCTCCAGCCTACCTCCCAGTGCTGCAGAACAGACGTCACTGTTGGCCTGACTGTCCACCTTCCTGTGTCCACTCAGGCCCTGGTCACTCACGTCCACTCCCCGCTGTTTCTTCTTCTGTCTCCTGGGTGGTTCCTGACTCCCGGGTCTGCTGGCCTTCAGCTGGAGTTAGGATAAAAATATACCAGGGTAGACTGTGCAGTTGTGAAACACACCTGTAAACAAGTGCTTTTGAAAAAATCTGACCTTGGCGCCCAGAATGAGCAAAAGAATGCATAATCATTGGCAATCACACTCAATCTAATCCTGGATAGTGAGTGAGTGACAAATCAAGCAACAATAAGGATTTCTCCAGTTATTGAAGCAAAGCATCTACTGTAATTGGAGTAAAGAGACACGCTATACATACAACCATCTACTCTCTGAGCAGAGGCTCTGGCTTATTTTTGACATGTTTTAGGCGTTTCTGTCTGTCTTTTTTTTATGGGTAGCGTATTTGATACTGTCTTGCCAATTTGATACTGTCTTGCCAATTTGATACTGTATTGCAGCCACCAAAAGATCTGGTTGGATATTAACAACTACCTACATATGGATGCCAGTTAATGTGTTGAAAAGTTTGGGTCCTTTGAAAACTACGGCATACTTGTAAGTGAATAGATTACACAATAAAATTGTTATATAGAGAGGACTGGTAGGGCCTAGGAAAAAAAAAGTTGTGTTTTCTGTTTTCCGATTGACCCTAGAAAAACCTGCCGACCCTAGACTTTTTTTGGGTGGACCCCTGCAAGGGACATAAATTTTCGACCTGGTCAACTTTTTCTAGCTCCACGATCTGACACCTGAGTGATGAAATGTTGTACAATTGGTGTAGATATATAGATATCACTGAAGTCTACCAAAAAAAAGAAGAAAAAAAAGGAAGGAAAAAAATGTGCCAAAATCCCTACCTACCAACCCTATTTTTTTCAGCACTGAAATAGGAAACACAACATTTTTTTTAAATTTTAATTATTTCTTTGGTTGTAAAAAAGACAACTTGCACAGCCAGGGCAGCCCAACTAGCAATGCTGACAAGCAAACATTTACACATACATTACAACAATACAATACAGGCCAACATTTTTCTGAGGCCTAGTTGACAAACCTTGGTTGTATCTGCCTGAGGTGTGGTGTCTGTTAGTACATGCTGTAGGATGATGTCAGCATGACTGTCTACACCCCCCGCTGCCCCACACACGTTCAGCCACACTGTCAGGACTGTGTAGGCTCTACTCCGCAGAGTACTACAAAATGGTCAAAAACAAACAATTGAAGACCAGAAAGGTACATGTAACATTTGCATTTTACCTTTGCATATGGTCTGCTCTGTTAATTCTTACTCAAACACATTCATATATATGGTGACAGGAGTCTAAATCCCTCCTACTATACAATTGCAACATGATGTAACCCAACACTAGTTACCATGGTGACAGACAGGTTCAGGTCATTGACCAGGTCAGTATTTGGAAAGGAGGAAGAAACAGAGTGAAAGCAATATGTTTTCCTTCCATAAACATAAAAAAAGATATAAATAAATAGGTAAAGCACCAATAAAGCATACTCACCATTCTTTAGACTTTCTAAAGATCCAGATAATGTTGGAAAAAGATATCCATAGTTTGGAGCAATAGAACATATAAACTTTATGATGAATTGGTTAAATTGTGTTTTTCTTTCACATTATTGTATGTGGGTTTTTATTCGGAGAATAATTCACAGCCCGAAGGCTGAATTTACATGACCTGTACTGGAGTAAAAACAGGATTAGAAGTAACTGTTGCACATTTACCTGTGAGGCCTCTGCCTCCCTGGCACCCCCTCCTCTGAAGTGGTCCAGCCCAGAGTCTGGATCAGCAGCTGTGATATGATGGAGGCATGTGGAACCAGGTAGCTCCTACAGCTGGGGAGACAAGGGGAGCATTAGTTATGCCACCTGGGTCTGTGCCTACTGATAATCATTTAAAGGGAGGCAAATAAAGACAAATTTCAAACTTAGAACAATCATAACATATGGAAAGAAGAAAAGACAACAGCAGTTTGCCATAAGAACATGATTTTTGAAAGAAAAAAATTCATTGGTCTATATGTATATCAGAGCTGATGTTTTAATGCTTTCTGAAAATTAAATATGAACAGAATACCATTTAAAAAGTAAATCGGCTAACAATGATGTTCCAATACCTGGAGAATATATTACTCCTCATAGCTGTACAATATGGTTTTTGCTTTCAAATTTGATAATCAACTTTCATATAATTCATTTATTATATCAGAACACCACACTGAAGACATACCTTATGATAAGGGCTTCGAGAATGCTCAGTGCGGAGCAGTGCATCTTGGGTAGGGCAGACATCAGAAGCACATGTTCCATAGATGCTTTTCCAAACTGTCAAACATTGGGTAAAACTTTTGATTATATAAAGCATATTACAATTGACTTACATTCTTTCTTGGCTTAAAAGAAGACATTTTAATTTAATTCTATTTTAATGATAAAGTGAATCAGAAACTAGTGATTAAAAGTTGTTTTTTGTTAGATGTGTGCATCATTTCTTATTTATCTTCAAACTGTTAGTCCCTATGGCTTTGTCAAATCAATGGACCTATACCATTATTACGTCACAGTTTGTTTACCTGTTCTAAAGAACATTCTTCTAGAACGGTCAGTTAAAGAATAAAGATCATTTCAAAGTTTTCAAAGTAAGGTATGTCTGATTTTTTGCTGCATCTAGTTGTGTTGACACAGCATTACATGCCGCATGGGTGATTTAGTTGTGACAGTAGACGAAAGTAGTACTGTATAAGGTCTCGGACCGGAGTTTTTTTTCGTATTCGTAGCAAATTTGACACTCTCGGCCAAGCGGGCTGGCGCTTCCGTCAAGAACGTGGGTCGGGATTTTTCATTGTACTAGTTGAAAGGGGTGTCATGCTGCTACGTAATGGACTTGATTGATATATCCTGCTGCCAAACTATCTGGGGATTACCAAGGTCTATAATAATAAATTTTAGAGGAAAGAGGTACTTTTTTCGTCATTTTTCAAACATGGCTGCATGGAAAAAACGAATTTTCCCAGGGTAACGGCTTACACCGCGGGGTAGCTTAGTACCTCACGTTTCTCAAAAACGAAAAAAAATTATAACTTGTCGTGATAACTTTTTCTCAATTTTCGATGCCCCACACACACCCCCAGGGCACATCAGGCGAAAAGGCTACGTTATCATCCGCGCGGACTAACATCGGGAAGTGTTCGCTGAACCACCAACATTATGCAGCCTATATATACTACAACTATCAGGCTTTTCAGAAAATATAAAGATATGTACACTGCTATAACAATATCAGCGAAATTACAACCAAAAGATACCTATCAAAGTCGTGTTTCCGGCAGTTTACTGCGCACTCTTTTGAACCCTGGTCAGAAATAAACTCCGACCCGGAACCATAAGGGCCTTATATCAAGGCTAACGCTACACAAACACACACCGCGCTACGCACCCCTGTACAATATAAACGTCGATTGACCGGCATTCATTACGGTAAACAAACTGTGATGTAATAATGGTATAGGTCCATTGCCAAGGGCATCTAACACAAGAAAGAAGAAAGAACAAGTTACCAGCATTTTGGCGTTGACCCCCAGTGCCCTGCATAGGAAGGATAGGATGTCTGGTGTGGGGATCCTCACTACGGAAGGGAACTCCTGACTGGAGAGGGAATAACACATCAACATGGTGACAAACTGTTGATGATTCAATCCAGAGCTCAAAATTAACGGTACCCCGATGGCCACTGACCACTCAAATTTAGGCTGGGACAACTAAAAGGACACTTTCAGACATTTTTGGGACAAGAGAACAATTCAGAATGTCAGCCCTTCTTTTGTTTACCAGGCACACGTCCCAGAAAAGTCCCCCTCAAATTTTCTGTCTACCCTTCAATTATAGTGCGCCTGGGAACCAGCATGTAAGCAAAATAAAGTTGACTTCAAGTTGAAGTCATACAATACTTCCCGAAAAACTGGTAATGGGACAGTTTATCCTCACTTTGAGACAATTGAAATTTATTTTTGGGACAGTGCTGGGACAATAGAAAGAAGTTAATTTCGAGGCCTGATTCAACATAGTTCACAGTTTGAATGGTGCAGGCAGTGTGTAGCAATGTAGACAATATTTGAAGTCAATACATGAAGAATCTTTTAAAACATACTGTCCACAACTGTACATACACATTTCATATACAGTATACAGTACAGTTATCAAAAATGCGATTTTATGGCAGCAACATGTAACAATTGCAAGATCAATTTTTTTTATTATCATGAAAGTTCATCTGTGTTGGTAGTAATCATAGTAAAACGTTGAACTTTATTCCAACACACAATTTACAGAGAGATCAAATTTTCAGCGACCATTGTCGCCTTCATCAGGATAATTAATGACCAATCACTTCACAACGTGATCTCGCGAGAGTTACGGTTACAAACACGTGACCTTATTCACACGAGACTTTACTGATACGTGACATAAGCAATTGATCAATTTTTTTCTTCTATAACAGTGCATTTATCATAAGTAAGATTTTATGGCAGCAACATGAAACAAAACTATGAAAATGTAGGGAGAAGTTTGCTGTTGTTCCCACCTGACTAGCTGTTGTAAACAGCCACACAGGTTGTGAAACCTGGTACTCAGGACAAATGTCCTGGCTGGGTCTGACTCTGGTACTGTGGGAAGGTGCAGGGATGCCTGGGGTGTATTGTAGGTCTGTAAACCTGCAAACCACACAGCAGCAAAATAATCAGTGCAAGCTTGGCTCTTTATTGATAATTGTTTTATTGCAAGCTCATGCCCGAAGGTAAATTGCAAATACAACAAGAAGCCATAGGTGACAATTCTCCGTGAAGTATTATATATTGCAACAAAAAGAAGTAGCCATTGGCGACAATTCTCTGTGAAGTGTGATAAATCGAACAAAGAAAAATTGTTTAAACGCGCGTCGGCTCAGTCATCTTAAGACGCAACAACCAATCAGAGATGCGAGATGCCTACACGTGACGCGGGAAGGGCGCGCGATGCCCGAAATATTTTTGCGTCAATATTCAGCGCCGTGATTCAAGAGATTAATACCCGGAAACAATTTTTTTCTTGTTTTGAACGCATTAACATGCATTTACGCTAATCTAGTATGATTCAGGGTTACTTTTTTTTAACCTGCCATGGCCAGATTATCTAAAGATGTGTGTATTGTGTGTACAATCTATAGAAAGAGAAATGTACATCAGGTCCGATCATCCGATTTTCACGTTTCGGTTTTTTGGACTCAGTTCATGAACGTATTTTGGTTTGGCTCCTGGAATGTGCAAAAAAATGACTCCCGGGACTCTCTACAGGGAACACTCGCACATTCGCGGTGTATCAGGACAGCGCGACTGGTCGTCATTAGCGCAGTAACAGTTGCATAAACGGACGAAACCATTTCAAAGAAATGGGGATGTTTCGAAAATAAGCATTTACTCCAATATCAAAACAGCTACGGTAAAAATAAAAAGACGTGCATCATCCCGGACATAATGCAACACCACATGCGAAATTACACAGAAATGCGACGTACGGAAGAATGCGTTTTGGCTGCGAACATCTTCCAAAAAACTTGGCATCTCTTAACCATGGGCAAAAACATCTGGAACCACTTATAAAAACCACCCCGTATCTGCATGAACTTTTTTGAACCCCACTGCTATTCCAAACAACGCGTTTTTCTGGACCATTCCAATTCGCCTCGTAATTGTAGGGGTGCGTCTGCGATATTACATTGACCGCGAAAGCAGCAACGGCAAAAATACACATTCGTGCATCAACACGGGCATGCCCGCAGACGGCGTATAAAATTGCGTGCCGATTACACAAAGAGAACCCAGTGTTTTTGACTGCGAACATGAAAAATCAGCCGATTACAACACTCCGTCCGGAGGTCCTGACCTCCTTCACGGAGTAACAAGAAGCCATAGGCGACAATTCTCCGTGAAGTATTATATATTGCAACAAAAAGAAGTAGCCATTGGCGACAATTCTCTGGCGACAATTGTTTAAACGCGCGTCGGCTCAGTCATCTTAAGACGCAACAACCAATCAGAGATGCGAGATGCCTACACGTGACGCGGGAAGGGCGCGCGATGCCCGAAATATTTTTGCGTCAATATTCAGCGCCGTGATTCAAGAGATTAATACCCGGAAACAATTTTTTTCTTGTTTTGAACGCATTAACATGCATTTACGCTAATCTAGTATGATTCAGGGTTACTTTTTTTTTAACCTGCCATGGCCAGATTATCTAAAGATGTGTGTATTGTGTGTACAATCTATAGAAAGAGAAATGTACATCAGGTCCGATCATCCGATTTTCACGTTTCGGTTTTTTGGACTCGGTTCATGAACGTATTTTGGTTTGGCTCCTGGAATGTGCGAAAAAAATGACTCCCGGGACTGTCTACAGGGAACACTCGCACATTCGCGGTGTATCAGGACAGCGCGACTGGTCGGCATTAGCGCAGTAACAGTTGCATAAACGGACGAAACCATTTCAAAGAAATGGGGATGTTTCGAAAATAAGCATTTACTCCAATATCAAAACAGCTACGGTAAAAATAAAAAGACGTGCATCATCCCGGACATAATGCAACACCACATGGGAAATTACACAGAAATGCGACGTACGGAAGAATGCGTTTTGGCTGCGAACATCTTCCAAAAAACTTGGCATCTCTTAACCATGGGCAAAAACATCTGGAACCACTTATAAAACCACCCCGTATCTGCATGAACTTTTACCCCCCCCACTGCTATTCCAAACAACGCGTTTTTCTGGACCATTCCAATTCGCCTCGTAATTGTAGGGGTGCGTCTGCGATATTACATTGACCGCGAAAGCAGCAACGGCAAAAATACACATTCGTGCATCAACACGGGCATGCCCGCAGACGGCGTATAAAATTGCGTGCCGATTACACAAAGAGAACCCAGTGTTTTGACTGCGAACATGAAAAATCAGCCGATTACAACACTCCGTCCGGAGGTCCTGACCTCCTTCACGGAGTAACAACTGTACAACAACAATAATAACCACAATCAAGTAATACTTAACTAGACACCATAAATAAAAGATACCGTAACTCCTAACAACTACTGTAGCCTGTGTTACACAAGCTCTCGGCCGGAAGTTGATGACCTCCACCGCAAGTCTTTGGGGGCGGCAACTTGAGTTGCAATTCGAAGTGACATAAAAGCTGATTGTTGATTTTTCTAGCCTGGGTACCAAACATACATTAGCTACCGAGTCTCTGTCATCCTGTGAAATTTTGGGACTGTGAGCTAGAAATGTAACATTTCCAAATATGCATAATGCTTTCCTTTGCATATGGTCTGCTCTGTTCATTCTTACTCAAACACATCCATATACATGTACATGCATATGGTCAGACAGGAGTCTAAATCCCTCCTGCTATAAAATTGCAACATGACGTAACCCAACACTAGTTAGTACTGGTACCATGGTGACAGACATCTGATTCTGGAGAAGATGAAGAAGAAGAGGAAACAGAGCAAAAACAGTGTGTTTGCCTTTGGTAATTATAATTACAGTAATTTTTCACTGACTAGAAGACAATGAACCCAGCCCACCTGTCTCCATGTCCTGGTAGGCGTGGTCTAACACCTGGTGCAATGATCCCAACACCTGGTCACACAGGTGAGCCCAGGCCTCGGCATACTTCACACCCCCGGCCCCGCCCCCGCCACACCCAGCTAACAGGGGACAGGTCTGCTGAACCAACTGTACAGGGGGGGGGAGGGTTAAACTCTGTAGAAGGTTTGACAACGCAGGGCTCTAGCCAGGCTGCAGCTCAAATTTTTTTCCTCTCTTCATGATCGGACCTGGAGGAGAGTGCTCACAATTTAGGGGGTCTGGAGGCATATTTTGTATTTTCAAGCCTTCAAAAACTGTCTGAGTCTGAGACAGATAAGCCAACTCAACATTTTTTTTCATCAGCCCATGTTCATGATTGGACCTGGGAGAGAGTGCTCACAATCTAGGGGGGCTTACAACCTAAAATCAATTTCCCGCATTTTGAGAGGCATGTCATGGAATTGATAGTGGTTGTTGGTGGCCCTTTGGATGTTTTTAAATTTTTACTCAAGACTTTTTGTCAATTTTGTCTATCAAGGTTGACAGAAAGATTTTTCTGTCAAATACCACAAAATTTTAGTAATTGACTGATAAAACTGGTTAGAGCCCGAAACAATGACATGAAAGTTTATCTGTGTTAATACACAAAACTGTGGAAAAGAGTTTAAACTTCCTTCATATACACCAGTATCTGAAGTAGACTGGAATTCAGTCTTGTTAGCAGCCATTGGAAGTGGACTAGACCTCACAGGACTGGATTCCAGGCTATATCTCAATGATAACCTGGATAGTAAGAGTCTGAGTGACAAAAGAGTCCTCCTGTTACTTTGACGTGAAAAATGATGTCAACTCTTTTTTCATAAGGACTTGCAGTTGTTTAACAAGATAAATTATGTGATTGCAAACGACTTTTTAATGGTTCAAAATGACTAATCTGTGTAAAGGTAAGAGAAGTGTAGGAACAAACCAGAGAGAGCCTGGGCTGGTTGGTGTCCATCAAACCACACAGAACAGATTCAACTTTTCCCTGGAAAAAAAAAAAACATGCTCTTGTGCTGTTATGTTTTTATACTACGATTGCCTTAATAGCTTCATGCTGAATCAGTACTAGTACATTTTAGCTTTAATGTACCAAATACATACATAGAGCCACCCACAGAATAATGGAATATGAAAATTGTTTGCTCTTGGTCAAGGTTTAAAACGTTAACATTTACGGGTAGTATTTGTGTGTGATACCAACCTTGGAGGGCCCACATGGCCCAGGGAAGTTCTTCATACAGGAGTGGAGGGCCTCCAGAGCTGCTGGGAACCACTGAAACAACAAGACAACAATTATATTGTTTACTGTTTACTGTTACTAGTATACAGACACATAACATGACACAAACACATCAAAAAACATCAAAGTATGTAGTATATATGTAAAAAATGAAATAACAACAGTTGGGTTGAAAAGGGCTGAAAATACTGTTCTATTGTCTAGAACATATCTGAGATTTTTAGCAAGTTACAAGTTGTTGATATTTTTGCTGCAGTCTTGGAAATTTTCTGGCAATCTGTATGTTACAGGTGGATTTTTCCAGGTCTTGTCAGTGGTTATTTAACATATTGTAAGATTTGATATCTCATTCTAAGGAAAAATGTAGTTATGAAAACCATAAAAGTTCAATTTCATACAGTAGCTACAATGGATACTAGTATACAGTGTAGTGCAAATCTGGTGAGATATACTATATACTATAACAATGTTTTGAAATGATAATGATTTTTCAAACAGCAAACATATGTGGAACATTACCCCAGTACCTCAGTTGCACCAACAGGTTTTATTCACTCCCAGCAGCCTTTGCACCAATAGCAAAGGACATTTCTAGCATCACCCCAGTACCTGATGGTCCTGTGCTCCCAGAAGGCTTTGCACCAGTGCAGGGACGTGCGTACTGGCCACCTCTCGGGCCACCTCAGGGTACTGGGCAGCCTGCTGGACAACAGCAGCCAGGACATGGCTGGCCATCTGAAGGGTCAGCGGAGAGTCATAGGCCTGGACATGAGTGGACAACAAGGAACGTTACTGACCGTCACTTGAATTTGAAGAAAGAACAATTGGAATATTATTGAATCTCTTATCACAAGTACATTGTACATGTAACTGTGGTACAAAACTGATCAATTTCATGTTTCTCGGATATGAAAAATAATGCCACATCAAAATATCAGTATGAAACTAGAAAAGTAACATCGACAAAGCAAATTCATAATGTTTACCTTCGCATATGGTTTGCTCTATTAATTCTTACTCAAACACATTCACATATATGGTGAGTTTTGGTGACAGGAGTATAAATGCCTCCTGCTATAAAATTGCAACATGATGTAACCCAACACTAGTTACCGTGGTGACAGACATCTGGTTCAGGTCATTGACTTTACTTGTTTGGAGAAGAAAAGGAAGAAACTGAGCAAAAACAATATGTTTTCCTTTGGTGAACATAATTAAAACTCGTTATCACAAGTCCTCTTGGCCCTCTGTTGTCATTGTGTTCTAGTTTTAAGTTAAATTTTACGTACGTTAAAATCAGACACCCAAGAAGAAGATGTCCTCTTTACCTGTAAGACCTGTGCCAGCAGTCTGATCCAGGTAGTACCATGCTGTATGAAGGTGTCTGCACTGCACTGTCGCACCACGGTCCCCAGTAAACATAGTCCCTCCAACCTACGGTACAGATATAGGGGTGTAAAATATATTATACTGTACTTTAGCCGTGGACGACTCTGGTAATCCTTTTTGCATGATAATGCCGGGGACAGAGTCGTGGTGCACTCCATAGGCCAAATTCAACCTTTGCCGTGCCGGGCCTCCTACAACGGGCCGGCCCCGGATTTTTGGTGTCCCTGGCTTCCCGACACACTCACCTGCCGGGCTGGGGGGATAAGACCCTAAACAAACGCAGCATTTAACCACAACACGGCCTCGGAGCACGTAACTCCATACAAATCATCGGCGATCGGCGGCCATATTGCCGTATCCTGCATTATCATACAAAGAGGATTACTAGAGTCGTCCACGGCTAGGGTGTAAGATATATTATCAATAATGTTCACTAGCACACACCACCATCACAATCTATGGTACTGGTAACTAGTACTCACCTGGTTTTGGCTGCCCCCAGACTAGTGTTGATGTGACTCACCCAGTCTTGTGCACTCTGCTGAGGGAGCGAAGAAAGGAAATGTTTTAGTTTCTTGGTCAGGATTGCTGAGTGAACCAAGCACAAAACAGCACCAAGAGACCACATCTAGCAAGATACATGTAACGTTAAAAGCAAGGACAACAAGCAAGTCATAATTACGGTACTGATGCTTGCATAACAATTTATTAAGTCTTCTATTAAGTTCGGAACTTCCATGTAAAAATATTGTCATTTATATGCTATTCTCTCTCTCTCTGTGTATGTATGTGTGTGTGAGCGTGCGTGTATACGTGTGTGTGTGCAAATTTAATATACACATTATGCAGTAGTAAAACATACAGTACATATCATTAATTGGCATTACTAGATCGGTACTTATGATTTTATGAATGAAGTAAGCAAAATATGTTCGCTAGTACTGAGCTACTGTAATGTCAACATTGTCAAGCCATCGCTGTACTCAGTGAAACTTTGTAGACATACACAGCATGCAGTCAGCTAGCAGACGTGTGCAGAACTGCCCCCCTCCCCTTACAACAATCGAAACCCGGTTTTAGACCCCTACTCAAGGCTAAACCTGGCCATTTGTACCCCAGCTGTGACACTCACTTCACTCTGTAACAATTGGTGCTCATTCGCTGCTTCAATGGTCCACGACAGTAAAGTTTTCCCTTCTTTTTCCGACAAACTTGTGAGGAGCACGCTTGCCATGTGAGCTGCCATTTTGGGTCAAACAGGGTCACTCACTAGGCGCCACCTATCGCCTGGTTGCGGTACTTCAAATCCTAAGGTTATGTAGGCCTTCTTTACCCTTTTACTCTGTGAACTGTAAATTTTAAGCTCTCTCGTGGGGTCGTGTGGCGTAGCGGCAGAGTGCTCGACTCGGAACCCAGGGGTCCCGGGTTCAAGTCCTGACATGCCACCGATCTCGTGCCCCGTGTGGGAAAGGCACTTTATAATTACACGACTTTCCTCACTTTAATACCTCAGTTGAAAATGAGTACGGTATTTTGTCCTGTTCCGTCTTTGTCTTCTATCTGCGTTGGTGACGGCATAAAATAAATCGATATAACTTGAGTTTGCCGTCACCATGTCCAGTCATGAAATGTTGGAATACAAAAAAAAAACTTTCGCTTTTAACTCCATCGTTTTGATGAATAAAAAGTACATAGCGCGTTATATCAAGAGGGTTTAAAATCTTTAAACCACCTTTAAAAAAGCCTAACCTCCTTGGTTATATAAAATAAAGAACTACATAAAAGCATTATATAACGGGTCATATTGAGCATAAGCTTGTCTTTCAAGACTTTCACAGTTCATTGTGATGAAAACAGCAATCTGTGTAAACGTCTGGCGAGTTAGTCACCTTATCCAGTTGTTTGATTTCTATTTGTTGTACAACCAAGGACGTGTTTGAATTTCCTTGGTATAACGTAAATTCCACGCGTTTTTTTCTCCTATTAGGACGTCACTATGCATGATCTAAGTGTTTTCGCATTAATAATTTTCCGCCACGATTTTTTTGCCATTTCACCCACGTAACCATTCTAGGAAACTGAAGCCGTCACTTGTCGGACACTTCTTTGAGGAGCTATACGATTATTCACCCTATCATGGCCAATTTGTTTTTCCTCATTAAGCCCTCAGGCATCTGTACGTAAAAAAGAGACAAGAAAGAAGCGTCGTTTGCCAAACGCATCTCTACTGTCCTGAATGGAAGCGGCTACTTCAAAGCAACATCACCATATGAAAGAAACTCTCGCCAAGCTAGTTCTTTGTCGGTCCCTCTCTCGCTCCCTATCACCTACTTTACATAACAGTTATCATCAAAACTGCCTTGTTCTTACGTTAAGTATAAGCAAGTGATTTTCGTGTTGGCGTAAAACGAAAGTCGAAGTAAAAAGTGCAAGCCTGCTTTGAAAGCTAAATGGATCAAATCGCTGCGCACTTTTCTTGTCTATTTGATCTGGGATCTTCAAGTTGATTGCGCGCTTTTACCAAATCATTGACGTACCATTTATGTAAGACGTGTTACATCATTCAACAAACCAAGGACATTATACAGACCTGCATAATGTCCTTGGACAAACACTGTTTTTATGACTCCTAGTTTCCAATGATATATTCAAAAATATTCAATATCTATTAGTGATCTATTTCAAATATCCGTTTTCCTACTCAAATAAAAGTGACATTATAAGTGTTGACAAATTGGTATTTTACTACTGAGTAGTAATGTCCTTGTGAGTAGTAGAACTAGAAGGTTCTAGTGGTTTAAACTTCCTTGATATAAACCCTTATCATTACTTATCAGACTAATATATATTCAGTGGTAGTAGTTGTCTCTCCTATATATAGTTGCAATCTTAAATCTTTAAAAATACAGTCTTCTGTAGCTGTGTAGCCGGTATAACCGCCTTTCGGCGTAACACACACCAGTCTTGTATATATTATTAGCACGGTAGAGTAACTTACAACATTGTCTGTGGTAGACTGACAACTACCCAGTTTTGCATAACTACTTTTCGCCAGTGACTGAATTCATGGAGGGTTAAGGACCCACATATCATAGGAAACGTGGCAGTAAATTCGTCTTCCACTGCCTCAAAAGAAGAAGTCAAACCCATCAAAACTAGTACCACGCTAGTATGTTGTAGAATCATGGAGGTCCAATGTAGAATGCAGCATAACGTTAGACGCAGTCTCTTATATCGAAAATATATGAAAGTTTATTGCAAATACGTGCCCGAACGGAAGGCTAATTGCAAGTACAAACAACATGTATGAATAATGAGGTAGAATGATATGAGAGTTCAGTACGTGATGCTACACTCTATAACATACGTAGTGCTAATTTTGTTCTAACTTCTTCTCTATATCAGTGTATTATCTTTTTCATACATGTTGTTGTACTTGCAATTAGCCCTCGGGTATGTATTTCCAATAAACTTTACAATATAACTAGTCAAGGTTTCTTGTTTACAATCACGTCAATGTTGTTTGTTTAGTGAGAATCAGTCGTTCATCTTTATTATGATACAATGCTCCTTTTATTTCCCACTACCACGAGAAAACAATTTTACTACTAAAATCAAAGAACCCTCTTATCATACAAGAAGTGGGTAAATTCGTCTTCCATTGCCTTAAAAGAAGAAGTCAAACCCAGGAAAGTACTAGTAGTACATTTGTACATGTATGTTGTACAATGCAGTATAGAAGAGAGAAGAAAGGGCAACTAACAGTAGATGATAGGTAGTATATAGCATTGTTGTAATATATAGACTCCTAGCACTTAACATTAGAATATAGCGTTCCAGTATGCAATACTCATGTTTTTATCCTCTCGACCACATTTGGTCACATTTGTGCATTTAGCCCATCTGGGCAAGAACATGCAATAAAGATTCACATTCACATAATGTTAGACGTAGACTCTAAATTGTATTTTCTGTTTTTCATACATGTTGTTTGCACCTGCCCTCTGGCATGTATTTGCAATAAAACTTTCTTTGTTTCCCAATAAAACCGTCGGAAACATCAGTGCGTTTCGTTGGATTATTTCCTAACGAGGAAACAATGATTTCCACCGATTAACAGAACCCCAAGCCGACGTGTCTGTGAATTGGTTGTTTTTCAAACGAAACCAGTTCAAAGGCACGGCGTCCTCTGATTCAATTAAAACCCAAGCATCACCACCTATTGTCTATCAACCGTTCAAACAAAACCGCCTGTCCCCGCCGACCAATCAGCGCGCGTCCTTCTCAACTTCAAAGGGTGCCGGCAAGGTGGAAGGCGAAGCCAAGCCATGAAATCAAACGATTGTGATTAAAGAGTCCCAAACTATGACTGAGTGCTGCTTTCTTATTAATCATCCTCCAACGCTTCTTGGCTGTACATAAAAAGCGAGTCGCCAAAAGACAAGTCACTCTTGAGTTGAGTTTGCTAGCAGACGCTCCTACGCACGACTTCACTTCGTTACAACCTGCTGATACCTTCTGACGACTGCCTTACAGGTACATTTTTACCCATCCTTTGCTCTATCTTTTGAAGTTTTATATCTAGATAATGTAATGAGGGAGGAGGTTATTTGGTTTTCATATTCGCTCTGCACGACTTTCAAGTTATTACGTAGGTACCTACGTTGTGTCCTTCATATTTCTTCCGTATTTCATGTTAGCGCATGTTGTTTTGCTATCTAGATCTCTTCTTTTTACCTCCATGGGTATTTTGTAATACGTAAGACCCCTAGCATCTTGTCGGGCTTTGGAGTAGGTAAATTCAGATTCTATTGGACCCTAATATTATCTACTATGATTTTTCTGCATGTTTTCTGACGGATTTTGTTCATGTTCTGTTACGGAACACATACTGTATTTGTAATCCTTAAAAAAAAGCTAGCATCTTATCGGGCTGTTGAGTATGTAAATTCAGATTCTATTAGGCCCTGATATTATCTACTATGAAATTTCTGCATGTTTTTTGACGAATTTTGTTCATGTTCTGTTACAGAACATATACTGTATTTGTAATACGTAAGACCCCTAGCATCTTGTCGGGCTTTGGAGTATAGGTAAATTCAGATTCTATTAGGCCCTGATATTATCTACTATAAATGAATTTTCTGCATTTTTTCTGACGAATTTTGTTCATGCTCTGTTACAGAACCATGGCTGCTACCGTGACCACGCATGTGTATGGCGGACCGGTGTCGTCCTTCCCTGCCCCGGCGTCCTGGGCGGTATACTCCCCGGCGTACGACCTGCCTTCCCCCGCCTGGACCCCGTCACAAGCACCGGTGGACGTCAGAACACGGTGAGTCTTCTATTACATGTATGGCCATGTATATGTACAGAAAATATTGCAGTCGTTGAGTCGTCCTTGATACAACTCCCATTCAGTCAGTTTACTCTCAGTATAACTCAAGAAGGAGTTTTCTTGAACTATTTGAAGCTTCTTGGTAGATTCAAGGGAATTATAATGTCCGTGGTTTATTGATATCATATTGTATACATAAAATTATTTGAGACATACGTTCACCACTTATGTATTGAAGAATTTGGGTAAAATAGTAAAATTCAGTATGTTGACTAGAGCATCCCTAATGATTACGATTGTTTTTAAAACCTGCTAACGATACTAGCATATACCAACCAAGAATCTTTTAAGCACCTTAAAAGGTGCAAAAACCTCCTTAGATAAAACTGGATGTTATACGTTTGAGGGTTTGAAAGCCCATACATGTTGAAAGCCCATACATGATGAGCCATACTAATGACGTGCTTGTATTTTTGATATCAGGTCTCCCGTGCCGACTGCCAGCCCTCCCCTGAAGGCGACTCCGAAGCCCGCCCGTGGTTCCAGCGGGTTCAACTTCGCCTCCATGCCGAGCGACATCGCCCGAGAGAACGAGAAGAAGCCGTCGGTCTCAGACTTCCCCGCGTCCGTGGTCAGCACGGCGTCTCCCGGTGTACCGTACAGCGTGGGCGTCACGATCGGCGCGTGGTACGCGAACACCCCGGGGAAGATGGTCGCCGCACCCCGTAGCCTGTACCGAGTCAGCCCGTACCCCGCCTCCCGGCCTGCAGGACCGAAGCCCTCCGCTAGGTTCCCGTGCGACGTCTGCGGCAAGGTGTACGCAAGCCGCCAGGCGCTCAGCGGCCACGTCGGCGGCGCCCACCGGGACGGCGACTCCAGCGAGCGGCCCCACGAGTGCAAGGATTGCGGCAAGTCGTTCAACAAGTCGTCCACCCTCGCGGCCCACCAGCGCGTCCACACCGGCGAGAGGCCGTACATCTGCCCGATCTGCAACCGCGGGTTCTCCCAGCGCTCGTCCCTGGTGCCGCACCTCCGTACGCACAGCGGGGAGAAGCCGTACAGCTGCACCTTCTGTCCCCGCTCCTTCGCCGACGCCTCCACGCTGGTCAAGCACGTCCGCACGCACACCAACGAGAAGCCGTACAAGTGTGAGGTCTGCGGGATCAGCTTCACCCAGTCAGGCAACCTCAAACGGCACATGAAGGTTCACGCCAAGAAGGACGACGGACAGTAGTAGTGTGTGAACTTCGGTTGAGGACTCGTACTCGTAGCTACAGAGATACTACTCGTATGATAAAATATTGTGTAACATTGATTCGTAACTTGTTGCTGAGTAAATTTGGAGCCTTTGGCATCTACGTATGTATAAGACAAGGTTTCATGTAACTGTACGTTGTTGTTCACATCAGGCTTGCTGGTCTTGCCGTGTGTACATTTTTGTACTACAGTCTTGGATAGCTGGTTCCTTTCCAGGTTGAGCGATTGGGAGAGAACATCGCACAATGTATTTCTTTGTTTTTGAAGAATAAAGTTTTCGGTTTGTTGAGAAACGCTACGTTGTGTTCTGTCCCTTATACGAGTATGTGGGTGCTTCAACGAATTTGAAAGTTGACCATTTCTAGAAGTCTAAAAAGTTGCCTTTAATTTCCAATTGAAAATAAGACTAAGTAAAAAAAAAGCTTTGGAATAGAAAATCGTCTTTGGCTGAAAAACACAATTCACATAGGGAAGTTCGCTGAAAGAAAACTTATTATGCAACCGGAACCACTGCCTACAACCACAGTAAAGTCTGGCGTTGGTGACAAAGTTCGTTTCCAAATCAGTGAGCGATTGAATTTGATCATATTTCCTCTTGTTGTTAACCGCATAATGTATTCCTTTGTTTTCGAAAAAAAAATCAGTTTCCATTTCACTGATACTGCACAGAGGCAAAGGCAGATTATATATAAGAAGTTTATTGCAAATTCATGCCCGGGGGGCTAATTGCAGATTACAAACATAAAAGAACAATGAAACGTAGTATAAAATAACTAAAATCTACATGATAAAAGGTAATTGTTTAGAGCTATAGCTATGTCTAAAGCTATGTCTAAGGGGTTTGACTTCTCTATATAACACCCTTAACTTGGACAGATCAAACTAGATACAAGTGGAATATCCAGTACGCCGAGAGTTGAGTCACTGTGTCTTCTCACCAAACTTCACATGGCTAAACATGAGCTAAGTAATTCGCCAGGCCTTTTATACTTCCTCATGGCGGACTTGGCAAGGAAACTACTCCAGATATATGAAAATGTCAGCGTCAGCGGCCTAGTTTTGCGAAAGGGATGTGTGATGCTCATGCAGCAGTTTTGTAATTTCCTGTCGGCCAGATGGTAGCAGTAGATGTGAAAACTTCCTCGAGCTCGTTCTGCCTAATCTTGCTTGTTCTTGCCAAAAATATCAATATTCTGTACGCTCCAATTGGTTGGTAGGGAAGATTGTGAGCTTTCTATCATATTATATTGCCCGTTTTCTGTATCTACAACTCCACACTAACGCTCTTTCAGCTTTATAGAAAGCCGGCGTAGTAACTAAAGATGACAAAGTTCACACGGCGGGGAAGCTTGTTGAAAGCATATTTATTATGTCAACCTTCAAAACGTGTCTCAACGTCTCTCTCTCTCTGTCAAACTTTCAAGTTTGTCATTTAGTAAAGAAGCAAGAGAGTAATACTTTTAAGCAATAATACTAAGCAGTAATACTTCTAAGCAGTATTCTAAGTGGGTATTGCTCACTATGGCACATTATATAAAAAAAGCAAATGCTCTCTCACTCTTGTAACATACTAGAGAAGACGCCTTCACATACAAGCAGAGGTTCGCTGCCGAAACCAGAAAAACAGAAAGCCCAATAAAACGGGCTTAGAAGGGCTTATTGTTAAAACGGAACAAAGAAAAGAATCAAAGCAATTGTATCTATTATTATATTATTTTGTTCCCTTTCATGTCAAGCTATTTCAAGATTGCGGGAGTGTCAACGAGATGGACCAGGTGTGGTTGTCGGCAGATCTGGCGAGGTTGTAGGTTGTCCTGTCGAGGTCGCAGGTTGTCCTGACGAGGTTGTAGGTTGTCCTGGCGAGGTTGTAGGTTGTTCTGACGAGGTTGTAGGTTGTTCTGACGAGGCCGCAGGTTGTCCCGACGAGGTTGTAGATTGTCCCGATGGGGTTGTAGGTTGTCCCGATGGGGTTGCAGGTTGTCCTACCTGGTGATGACTGCCGCCCGAGAAGTCGCAGTCGGAGTACGGGTCCTCTGCGCTGACAATATGTTCCTGGCAGGTCTCGTCAATCAGGATCATACAGTGATCAGGTACAATGGACACCCCGCGGCTAGGCGGGAGGAATAATAATGTTAATTAACAACAACACTGTCGCAAGCTTTACTTGTTGGTTTGTTCGCTAGTTAATTCTTCTGAAAACGATAATGCTCAGATTTTCATAACGGAGAAACATTAGTTATTGGTCTTAAGACTCAGTTAAGAGTAAGAAAATTTCAACGCAGGCACTGGTCAGGAACGAAGTACACACTGCGGCTGAAAACACACGGATGGATCTCCTATTAAATGAAATTGTGTCTGAAAATAACTGATCTGTGTTGCTGAGATAAAACATCTCACAGTACATAGGAGATAGTCTGAGAAAACGGTAAACACAAAGACAGGCAAACGCAACATGCATGGCATTCTAGCATAAAGTGAAGCCTTGGAAGTCTGACTAGCAGTATTATCTACCTACCCGCGGCATTGTAGTCCATAATTACTACAGTCACACTCCTCACACCGTGTAGTCTTCCAGCTGCTGCCGATCATCATCTTCTGCCCCGCCCACTCACAGTAGGGGGTGGTCACCACTCGCTCGTTACCCTCAGGGCCGTACCTTTGGGAACAAACATGGTAATAGTTATCACAATTGGAGCATCAGGCATTTTAGGTGCATACTTAGTATTTGTCTCTTTCTTTCTTTCTTTCTTTCTTTCTTTCTTTCTTTCTTTCTTTCTTTCTTTCTTTCTTTCTTTCTTTCTTTCTTTCTTTCTTTCTTTCTTTCTTTCTTTCTTTCTCTCTCTCTCTCTCTTTCTCTCTTTTTCTTTTTCTCCCTCCCTTCCTTCCTTCCTTCCTTCTTCCTTCTTTCTTTCTTAACTTCCATAGTTTCCAGAGATGCCTGGCTCGAACGATTTTGAAGATCCAATACTGTACTAGTATTTCGTAATACCACGTGCTCTCGAACATGAGTCCTCCCCCGTATACATATCCCTCAGTCATCCGCCAGGTGGCGCACATCACCAGCAGCAGTGCGATGGAAACCTTCATCTTCTCAGTCACTGTGAACATGATGGCAGAAAGACATCGTGTTAGAAAACTACGTTGAGTAAAAAAGAATCTCTTTACTCACGTATGCTCCTTTGACAGAAAGGGGAGGTTGTGTCATGTTTTCGGAAGTTACTGACAACAATTCTGCTTAAGGGGAGGGACCAGCTTAAGAAGATCCCATTGAAATCTATGCTAAAACCACTAGAAACAAACACTTCAAAACACATTTACTTTTATCTCAAACCTCAAGTCTTTACCCCCACTGGAAAGCTGCATTTGTCAGGTGTCTTTTGGTACAAATAGTGGAAGTTCAACTCCAGCTTGTTAATGAGCTACAGCTAAAAAATTGAAATGAGACCAGGATTTCACCCCCTGGCAAAGTGGACCAGTCCACACAGATAACAAGTACTAGTATGTAGAGGT